TTACAAAAATTAACCCTGCCTCACAGTTGGTACAAGTAGTCGGACAGTTGGCGTTACACTTCACCTAGCAGATATGAGCTGAGCTTTTACTGCATGAAGTTTAAACAAACTATTTATTAGCCTGCTACAGATGTCTGTTGAAAAGGGATTTGTCAATGTTGTGTTTACAACTTTACAACGTGGTTAAAAGGTGAAAAAGTCAATTTCACTTTTATTTTTAAAAATTATTCTTATTTTTCAAATTGGAGTCATTTGAAAAGACTAAAGTGTGTGCAGGGCAAAATTAGCATTTGCTCCACTCAGTGATTGGTCTTTTAAACTGTTGGGTGAGTCATGCTGACTAAATAACACTAAAAAAAACCAAGGTGCGTTGACTGAAGATTTTCTAGTTCTCTCAGACAGTGAATTATGTTGAATGTTCTTGAATTTTGTAATTAAATCTCTTTCTGAGTAGTGTGCATCACCGCATCACAGCTTATCTAAAGCTGTACTTTCATCATTAGTATTTTTCCCCCCAAACATGTGACATGAAACAGAACAGATTTCTTATTGCTAAGCTAAGCTACATCAACCATTGATCTCCGCCACTGTGGGTCTACAGTACATACTGACTATTGAATTTAAAAATTAATAATAATAGAGGATATAAGAGCTGCATACACTATATGTAGGCTGATCATCGTATTATTAAATGGAGGAATGAGAGGGAACTGGGGAACGTCAGCCAGAGTGGCAAAGCTCAACTGTTGCTAACGCAGCAAAATTTCTAAAAGTGCAGGCCCAACATTTTCTCTGCTATGCTCTAATCTCACCACAATTACAGTAAGCTGAAGGTTGAAAATGGGTCACAAACTTCCTTTGTCTGTTTTGCTTTTGATGCCATATGGTGATTTAGCCATGTAATAACCGTTTTTACATTTGCTGCTTTTAAGTGGCAGGTGTGGCGTTCCCAGGAGGAAAATATTCAAGTAACATAGAAAGTGTGTTTGTTTCATGTTTGCAGAGGCATCAATAGATGTTTGTTTGGGATAATTAAAAGATGGAGTGTATGTATAAGCAGAGATGGTTACAATTACACAGACCAAGGACTCCAATTTATTCAGCAGAAGCAAGCTGTTGGGAAAGGAAAGCAAGTATGTGTAATTATTACAGAACTAATAAATGCCAGCTTTGAGATCCGCAGTGACATGACTACTGATGTCAATGTGGTTCTCAATTGAGAAATGGTTAGTTTCACTTCTGCAAATGTGTTTTATTTTCTTCATTTCATGTTATTTATGTTTTAATTCATGTCCATCCATCCATTCGCTTCCGCTTGTCCTTTTCAGGGTCACGGGGGGCGCTGGAGCCTATCCCAGCTGTCATAGGGCGAAAGGCGGGGTACACCCTGGACAGGTCGCCAGTCTGTCACAGGGCTAACACATAGGGACAGACAACCATTCGCACACCTAGTGGCAATTTGGATTATCCAATTAACCTATCCCCACAAGCTGCATGTCTTTGGACGGTGGGAGGAAGCCGGAGTACCCGGAGAGAACCCACGCAAATACGGGGAGAACATGCAAACTCCACACAGAAAGACCCCGGCCTGATGGTGGAATTGAACTCAGGACCTTCTTGTTGTGCGGCAACAGTGCTAACCACCGTGCCACCGTACTGCCCGTTTTAATGTGAACTAATTAATGTGAATTAATGTGAACCTGATAATGAAATAGAAATTATAGGAAGTGATGGCAGTATAAACAGCAGGTTAACAGCCCAGTGCTGGTACCATCCTGCAGAACTGCAAATATTAGCCAACTGAAACCCCCCTGTTTTTATAATCAGTTGAAGAAACCGCCACATATTTTCTGATTTCACCTTTTTTCCTGTGCGAAAGATACTGCTTTTCTTTCGCTTGATATGATCGTTGACACATTTGGGTTTTGCAAAAAACAAAACAAGACAGTTTTCATATTTTCCTTTCAGTTTTATCCAGTGAAAATGATTGACTCATTAAAAAGTAAATAAAATAGTTTTGCAATGATAATAATTTTTAGTTTCTATTTATCCCCCAATTGCATTCATTGTAAATGTAAAATAAAAAGGAGACACAATCTCGGCATACCTCAGCAAATTCACCAAATTCTGCATGAGGACTTCAAACCTGATACGGTGCAGATTTCTCAAAAAGTGCAAGCGTGATGTGTTGTTGATGTTAACAGACGTACAGTATAGTGTGTTTTGTGGGTTTAGAGCTGAGAAATGAGAGAGAAAAGGACAGAGGAAGGATGTCTTTCCTGACTCTGTATCCTGTGTTCTGCTGACGGAGGCTGGTTTTTAGGAGATGAGCCCCACGGAAGCCAGATTACTGTCTCGCTGAGAGTGTTTTCCCATTTGGTCACCAACCGCTGGAATGGTCTTTTTCTGAACCTCTTATTAAACACTTTGATGTTATCAGATATTTGCCTTTATTTGCAGATCATCTGGAAAGAATATGCATGTGACAACATGCTGTATTCAGACGGATGTTGGTAGTGTCTATTATTATGTATGGTTAGTTGTTTTGTGTTTTTTCTTCTTGCATATCAGTACAAGAATCATGTTTTCCTGCCATGACGTGTCTTTCCAATTCAGAACCACTGTCCAGTGACTTATGATAAAAGATATGGTTCCTTGTTCTTCTAAATGTTACTCATTGTCAGTTGAGGTCAGCGGCACACCCAGTGCTACTAGCACTTGCACACAGAAGTACATGTTTGATGCTACTGTCTGTACTTAAAAACTACATTTTTTTAAGAAACTCGTTGCAAAAAAAAGAAAAAAAAACGAATACAGATGGCAAAAGTCAGCACTGGCACATTCGAGCCTTTATTTCACGATAGAATGCTGACAGAGAAAGTCTAATGGGAAGTGTCCTTCCCTTAGTTTATGACAGGAAGGCCACAATCCAAACATCAAGCATTTTAGGGCGTGAATCCTGGAACTGCCTGCCACCACAGCCAGAACCAAAGATAGCCACTTATCTCCAAGCCATAATTGAGGTAGATTTTTTTGTCTATGTCCCTCTTTGTTCTTTAACCCTCAAGTGTCTTTAGCAGCTAGTTCTTAAAGAACAACACACAGCAGTGGGGCAAATGGCAGTGCAGGAAGCACCATCATGGTATTCTGATAAATACGATGACAGCATTCTACTGGTAGTAGAGTGACTGTGTAGTATGCTGTTCCACAAGTGTTTCCACACAGTTTCAGCCCCCCCTCAAAAAACAGGAAGTCTTTCTAGTCAGGAGATTTGCCAAGCACCTTAACTACCCTCTGGTTTCCTGGGAAAGCAGGGAGGAAACTGTGGAACCTCATAAAAGTGGTGACTTCAGCACATATTTGTGCCTCTCCATTAGGCCACGACCACACTGCCCCTAGAATACCCCAGCTTTGTTTGCAGACACAGGGAAAGAACCAGCACAAGCCAGACCCCAAGTTAAAGATCAGTGTTACTCCCTGAGAGCAACAAAAGCAAAAACTTGTCAGCCCTTCACCTCCCAGCACTTTACAAACGTTCTCTCTGCTCTGTTAATAATAATTGCCCTGATCGTAACTAATCAACTTTTCAAACTTTTATTGCAGTTTAATTATTGCTTAGCCTACATTTAAAGATTACTTTCAGCATTCTTCACTGAGAACTAATCTATTTTGCCTTAAAAAAATTTATATAAACTGCACTCCCTCCACTTGAAGAACAAAGTTCTGCAGACTCAGCAAAAGTCTCCCCGATCACATGACAGATTGGGTGCAACAGTTCAAACCTCACTGTGCGTTGTGCAAGACTTTATTTATTTTTGAAGGTATATTTAACAAAGAAAATAGATACTCGAAAACTACTTGAATTCATGTGTATGCATTACACATTGCTTTCCAAACTCTACAACTGCAGAGTAAACAACGTTCCTTCCACCTAAACCCAAAAACAGTGACGGAGTGAAACAAGAGGACAAAACTAACACTGCCGTTATCTGTTCAACGTTGCCATCTTGTGGACAAAGAGCTCTACTTCAGCACACCAACCTTTTTTCAGCAGTGGGACTGAATGAAAATTCATTTTCATATTTAGTGTTGTCATTCCATTTTCCAATCTTAGACGATGACCTAAATGTACCGTGGATGCATCATGCCAATGTATTACAACAGTCAAGAACTGAGTCTTTAAATATTTGTTCTGCTTTGCTGCTGACTTGTTTTGTTTGCATGGTTGCGTAATCCTGGAAACACGAACATGAACAAATGGTCTTAAAAAAAAAGTCTCAAAAGAAGAAATCTGAAAATAAACAGAAAAAAGAATAAATAGAATTTCTAAATGTGTGTATCTGCTTCAAACCCAGTGCTTAGGATCATTTACACCTTCCCATTGTTTTAAAAACCATTTTTATATTTAGATTTTTATATTTTTGTTGTATATTAGGCTAAAGATGAAATATGTGATTCTTAATAAATCCATATATTTTCAATTAGATCAAATTGTGATTAAATTGTTTGTTAAAAATATCCAAATATCCACTGAGTGTAGCCCTTGTTTGTCCAAATAAATTTAATAGGGTCTCCAATTTGCACTTTTATCATTTCAATGTATATTTTTCATTTGTTATATTTTGGTGGCATTTAGCAGGAAGTTGTAATACTTAGAAACACAATCTTTCTCTGTTATTGTAGTAAATCATGGCTTTCTTTACCAACACACTAGCTCATTACTAATCAAACAAATGAATGTAATGTAAACAATAACCGCTTTCTACAGATTATGAAAGGAGATGATTTATTACTTACTTTTATAGTAGTTATTATGTTTTTGTGGGTGCTTTGCTCGCATTGTGAAGAATAAAGATTGAGGCTGTGTGAGTAAGATGTTTATATGCAGACAAACACTGTAAACTCTGCTTTGGGAGTTTCCGAGCACTGAATTGATTTTTGCTGCACCTGAAATCCAAATTATTGACTGTGACAACAATAAAAACACAGTCCTTTAGCAGATGGATAATCATTAACAAGGTGGTAGCTTAAAGGACTAAAGGAGGACAGGCACGGTATCATTTGTGCTGTCAAAGGTTTATGATGAGGCTTGAAATCGCTCTCCAGTTGGCTCTCGCTGGCCTCTGTCTAGCTCTGGCACTTCTTGGGGAAGGCATGTATGTATATTTCCTGCTTCACTTACACAACATTAAGGATGTTTGTTTAATCATTTACTATTATTATTTAGAGAGTTTATTGTGTCTAATTTGTGTATTTTAGGGCTAATCCTGATCCGCCAGCTGTGGACTGTGCATGGAGTCGTTGGTCAGGGTGGAGTTCTTGTGATCCTTGCACAAAAACCAGAGTGAGTCAATTAGGATTTTGATCAGTGTCAGAGCCTGTGAACTTAATAGTGCCCAAGCTAGAATGCTTTTAACTTTTTAAGTCTATAATAATAAATAATCAGACTAAACAGGTCTACTATCTATGCACAGTGCCGCTCACAGCCAATCTTCTTTTGCAGTGCTGCTCTCTGTCTTTATCTTTAATGTGACACTATGTATTATCCTCAGAGGCGTTCTCGAAGTACAGAAGCATTTGGCCAGTTTGGAGGTAGAGCCTGCCAGGAATCGATAGGAGACAGGGAGTTCTGTGTACCTGATGGTCAATGCGAGCTACCGCCTCCCCGTGCGTGCTCAGACTCAGAGTTCCAGTGCGAGTCAGGTACCACAGTATTAGTACCTCAGTCTTTATCGCTTTGTTTTTGGGGAGCAGTATCATGCAATTCTCTGTCTCTACACAGGGTCTTGCATTAAAAAGAGATTAATGTGCAACGGAGACTATGACTGTGAAGATGGATCAGATGAAGACTGTGAGACAGCGCGTAAACCCTGTGGCTCGGCAGTCCTTGACAGCAATGAGCAAGGCAGGACAGCAGGATATGGGTAAGTTATTAAAGAGCTCAATCAGTGGGAAATAAAGAGTCACTATAAATTAGCATGACAGTAAAATGAATACTTGGTAGAAAGAGTAAATCATTTACATTGGGGAGACACATAAACATCTATTGGTGACAATGTTTACAGAAAACCAGCTTCCTAGCAGAGTTGGCGTTTTAAATGTGAGCTGCTTTTAAGCAAAAAATCCACAGATTTTTTGCTTAATATTTTTAACAATAGCTGGTCTGTTATGAAATTTTTCACCAAAAGACTGATGAACACGTTAATTTCACTGATAGGTGTCATAAATGAGGCGGGATGTTTCCTACAACCTACAAAAAGATATCGGCTTATAAAAATGCAGAATCTTCAGGCAAGGGATGGACTTTTTTGTACTGGGAGCTTGCTGTGCGTACTTAATTTGGTGCCACTAACCAACCATGCTTGGCCAGGCTTTAACTTTATCCTATTAAACAGACAATTAATCTTTTTTATGGCTTTTTATATTTAACTAAAATCATAAAGGATGACCAGCTCACATAAGAGGAAATCTTTGTCTGGATGGAAGTACTGGCTATTTTACCCAGAGTCTAAGCCATTTAACCTGGATCTTCCGACTTTAACGTCCTGTTTAATGGATGGATAGAGTGCACGAGTGGTATCAGTCTTTTCACCTGACTCTTACAAAGAAGGAGAATGAGGATGCCTTCTATAATATTAAAACTCTTGAACTGGGGTAACACTGTAAAAGTCTTAAAGTGGCCTCTATGTTCATCCACCAGAATCAACATCTTGGGTACAGATCCTCGAATGAACCCGTTCAACAATGATTACTTCAATGGGAGATGTGATCGAGTGAGGAATCCAAACACTGGGACGTTTGACAGGCTGCCCTGGAACGTCGGCGTGCTTAACTATCAGGTTAACCATGGCAACAGAAAGAATTTCAGTATTATAAACTGATCGTGAACACATGTAAAGGATTTTGTTTTGCCACCCAATACTGATATATGTATTCTGTTGTTTCAGACGTTAGTGGAGGAAACAGCTTCGAAAGAACTCTTTGAAGACACTCACAGCCTTCTGCGTGAAATCCTCACTGAGATGAGTGTCAACATTGATGCTGGTCTTTCTTTCAAATTCACCCCAACTGAGGGGTCTTTGTCGAATACTTCTCTAAATGTTGACCTATCGGGTCAGTATGAGAAGAAAGAAATGATTAAAACGGTCACCGAAAACACCAAAATTAAGGTAAATATCCTCTAATAATTTCACAGAATCTAATGTACAACCCAGAATAATCAATATTCTATGGACAAGCTGCATCTCTTTTTTTTTTTTGACCCCACAAACTTAGAACAACAACTTTATGCGGGTGAAGGGCAAAGTTCAACTGAGCACCTACAGGATGCGCTCCCGTGAGCTCAAAGTAGCAGATGAATTCCTGGTGCATGTCAAATCTTTACCTTTGCAATATGAGAAGGGAATTTATTTTGCCTTCCTGGAGGACTATGGAACCCATTACACAAAAAATGGGAAAACCGGCGGTGAATACGAATTGATCTATGTCCTCGACCATGACACCATTAAGCAAAGAAGTATGTCTATTTGAAATCATTCTTTTCTGCTATGAAGTTTCTTCAGCCTTATGGTGTGTTGATTAAATACAAGTGATAAGCACTAATTATCTATACTTTATTGTTCTTGCAGATATGACGCAGAGAGACGTTCAAGACTGCATCACATTAGGCATTGAAGGAGGCCTCAGTTCCACACTTACGACGGACAGTATAAGCGGACACCTTAAGCCTAAACATTGTGATAATAAATCAAATATGGACGAAGGTTTGCATTCCCTGTTTTTCCAGGTTAAATGAACAAAGCTAGCATGCTTGATGATTCTGACTAAATTCCCAACCCCTTTCCACAGTTTAAGTGTATTTTGGTGTTTTACTTCAAGGAATGCTGCATGCATGAAACTTAACTGTATTAAAACAGAAAAGTTCAAATCCAAAGTTAAAGTCTTAAACTGAATTTGGAGCGAGTCACTGCACTGATTATGAAAAGTCACTAAAGTTTCCTTTTCTGTTGCCACACAGGTAAGGCTGAAGGAAAAGCTATGGTGGATGAGGTGATGACATCAGTCAAGGGAGGTACCCTACTAAGTGCTGTTAGTATGAGGGCTAAACTAAATAGGGATGGAGTGATGGACCTTGCAACATATCAGGAATGGGCTCGGACCATCACAGAGGCCCCTGCATTGCTGCACAGTGAGGTACGAATAAAGGTCACAGCAAGGCGAGAGCAAGTTAAACTGAAATATACATACTGTATAAATGTATGTGTTTATGCGGGAGTTACGTTCTAACCCGCAGTAAGTGAAATCCGCGAAGTAGCCAACTTTATTTTTTTACAATTGTTATAGATGTTTTAAGGCTGCAAAACCCCTCACTACACACTTTATACACTTTTCTCAGAAAGGCATTAACATTTTCACACTTTTCTCTCTTGTTTAAACTCTCTCAAAGTTCAAACCTTTGTAGAAAAATAAGTCCAGTATTATAGAATGAAACCAAAGGCACCCGCGGTCCAGCACTTCAGAGTCACACTGCTAGTGATCGAAGATTTATGTAAATTTGACAAGCTGAACGCATTCTGCACTGTACAGGAGACACGGCACGAGATTGACTGGCCCATGGTCTACAGCCAATCAGGATGCAGAACACAATGCGCTGTAAACAAAACAAAACAAAACAAAAGTGTGCAAAATTGCACACAAAACAGCGAGGCGCCGAAGGTGAACCGCGTTATAGCGAGGGACCACTGTAATGCCTACATTCTGGGTATTTTACCAGAAAGGATACACAAATTATACAAATGCTTAAAGGTAGGCCTAGTGGGAAAAAGGGGCTAACAAGTCAGGTTTTTACATGAAACAACAATAAATATGCAGTAAGTATATAGTATAAGGTAAAATAAAAGAATAATGGACTAATAAAATTCATCATGCACACCAACATAATGAATATTGAATCGATTTCATTAAAAGCTCCTTTGGCCGTAGTATAAAGTGTTACCAAAATCTCTTAAGGGATTGCTATTGCAGAAATTTGATCTAATGACTGTAATCAAACCAGACTTTTATATTATCTAGGGCTATCATCAGTGTCTTCACTAAACTGGTGACATTACCTAACTCAATGAATCAGCACAGCATTTATGCAGGTAGCTTCTACTACACATATGTCATTTACTTTTCTTCTGGTGCACTCACATGGTTTAAACTTTCTCAACTGCGAATTGCTGTGAAACTTTATACATAAATGTCATCCTTAAAATGAACTGCCACTTTCACTTTAGGGAATCTTATGTAGACAACAATGTAGTGAGCTCATAGAATTGTTAAATGCCACTGATCAGTTTCAATGTGATAGATGAGTGTTTACTAAAAACCTTAACACAGACATGTGTTTTGTTATACCTCTGACCTATTGGATTACTACCTACCGGACAGGCACACTGCAGTATGTGTGACTGAGCAGTGCTCAGTGTGAGTTGATTATATGTACTACAGAGTCTCCACAGAGGACTGTACTGTCTCCATTTCTGTTCACCTTGTACACCTCAGACTCAAGATACAATTGCGGGGTCATGCCACCTACAGAAATACCCTGACAGTTCTCCAGTGGTTGGATATTATTAGCAACTGGCGAGAGGAACAGTGCAGTGGGTGATTGTGCAGAGTGGTCTGGGAGGAATCGTTTTCTTCTGAATGTAAATAAGGCGAGAGAAATGGTAATTGACTTTAGATGCATCAGCAGCTACATCCTCCATGTCTATTCTGTTAGAGGATCAGAATCAGAATACCTTATTAATCCCTAAGGAAATTATGTGTTGATGTGGAGAAGGAGAACAAGTACCTTGGTGTCCACATCATCAACAGGTTCACATGGAAGACCAAGAAAGGGATGAAGAAGTTATATTTTATTTTTTTTAAAACTTAGATCCTTGAGTCTGTGCAGCCTTAATTGGAGCTTTTCTATCAGTCATAGTTTTGACTTTGCAAAGGCAAAGGCTCAAAGTTTAAAGGCTACTTTGTGTTCAACACTCACTGCTAAATATTAGCATGCTAACACAACAAATTACGATAAATATGAAATGAAAAAATATTAATATATTCTAACAAAACTCCTTCTAATATATGTTCTAATGTATTTTAACATATTGCATATATTTTGTTGTTTATGGCAGCCAGAGCCCATCCACATGTTAATTCCACTGGAAATCCCAGGCGCTAACTCCACGATATCAAACTTGAAGCGGGCTATTGCAGAGTATGTGGCAGAATATAACGTATGCAAGTGCAGGCCCTGTCAAAATGGAGGCACTCTTACTCTGCTGGATGGAAAGTGTATCTGTCTGTGCTCGCAATTGTTTGAAGGCGCCGCTTGCCAGACTTACAAGCGTGATAGAATTCGTGTCCAAGGTAAGCCTAAACAGTTGTTTTCTCAATGCAACCCAACTTCAACAAAAGTTGGGATGCTAAGTAAATGCTAAATAAAAGCAGATTTTGATGATTTGCAGATTTCATAAACCCATATCTTAGTCACAGAATGTAGATAAGATTTAAAAAAGAAACCTGAGGCAGAAACTGGAACACAATATTGGATGCCTCAGCTCTTTACACAATCAGCACTGAAACATAGTTTTCTGCACCATCCACAAATGCAGATTAAAGCTCTTTTGTGCATAATAGATGCCATATGTGAATATGATCCAGAAACACTGCGGTCTTCTTTTGGCAAAAGATTACTTAAAATGGACTGAGACAAATCGGAAAAGTGTTCTGTGATCAGATTAATTGATATTTGAAATTCCTTATGGAAAACATGGATGCCACATCATCCTGTCCCAACTTTTTTGAGATTTGAGATTCAAAACAAGTTAATATTTTTCCATGAAATAGCAAAATTTCAGTTTAAACATTTTATATGTTTTCTATGTTCTATTGTGAATAAAATATGGGTTTATGAGATCTGCAAATAACTGGATTCTGGTTTATTTACATTTTACACAGCGTCCCAGCTTTCTTTTTGGAATTGGGATCGTAAATCTCATCATTCTAACAAGGCCTCGCTCATGTTGCTTTAAGTAATTTTCCCTGCATTTGTTAATTTGAAAAATGTGTGCCAGGTACAAGGCCGGCTGTTGTTCATGAAGGTAACTGGTCTTGCTGGTCTGCCTGGTCCAACTGCAGTGGAGGGAAACGCACCAGGACACGTGGCTGTAACACAGATGGTGTCCCGGGAGCTGCGTGCAGTGGAGACAGAAACAGTGAAGAGTACTGCTAATAGCAAAAGAACTAAATTAGGGAGTTTCTTTCACAATCTTATTCTCTCTGATACATATATGGCACAAACAAAATCTTAAGGCATATTTTTGACATGTCAAGATGTAAAAAACATGTTATCGGGATCTAAATTAAACATTTAGGTTCAAATGGTCTTTGTCTTTCTCTCTAACAGTGTGCATCTTTCAGCTTTGCTTCACTCAGATAGTGTTGGCTGAATTATATTAATGGGCTAATAGCTCATCCTTAAAGGCATGTGGCCACATTCCATCTGGCTGTACCGTGCAAATAAGAACCAGATGAGTAGAAGGCAACTGGGTGGAAGGAAAACTGACAACTGAGGACAAATAGAGACCGTCAGTGGACAGAGACGAGAGATTTGGAGGTGCTGGACATACAGCAAACATAAAGGATGACCATCCTTCTTTGTTTATATGTAATTAAAAGCCCCCAAAATATCTTTGAAATCTTAAAGGATCATAAGGCATTAGAATAGAATAGAATAGAATTCAACTTTATTGTCATTGCACATGTCACAGGTACAGGGCAACGAAATGCAGTTTGCATCCATCCAGAAGTGCTTTAGCCATGATATAGATATATTACAATATATATCTATATAATGAATGTGGAACTTGAAATAAATGTAATTCTTGTGTTTAATACTGTTTATGAGTGCTAATGAAAATTAAAAATACACCTTGTATGCTGCCATTCCTGGAGAATACATGATCCATTGTGGATTTTGGATCAAAACTTTACTCGTTTTAGTTATATGCCTGCAACTCGGTATGCAGCATGTTCTATACGTACATGTTTGAGAGGAGAACGCTGCATCCCGGTTGAAATTTTCCTGAAAAAAGTACATAGCATGTGTAGTTTACAAATTGTGTGTAGTTTGGATTTACAAATTCCAAATCAGAGAAATAATGTCAATGAAATGTGTTTTGGTTTCCGTTTCCTGTCCAGCACATTTGAAAAGCATCAATCTTATTGCCAATAATATTACAAACACCTGTGCTTTTTATAATGTGAGAAGTCACAAGTCCGGTGCTGTAATATACAGTGCCCAACCTCTTTTTCACTGTTTTCCTTCCTTTTGTGAAATACTGGCACTGGAGTGGGAGGTTTTTCCAACATTGTGCTGCACAAGGCCTCATCTTTGACATACTGTGGCGAAGTATTTTGTATGTATTACATTTTCCAATATCAGATTTCTGGGAGTATCACTTGCTGTCATTGCTTAAAGAGTAAGTCCAAAAGATTGTGTGTTTGTGTGAGCGTGCATATGTGTACATTTCTGTGTGAGTAAATGGGTGTGTGTCTACTTGAAGGTTGTGTGTGGGGGAATGAATGCATACTTGAGAAATAACCATGGGGGGTGGTGGCCCCTGGCCTTTAGGATGTCAGCATAATGGAGTAAAACTTTGGGACCGTATTGAGCTCCAGGGAAACTCCATTCACTGCAGTCAGCAACCCAGCCTCAAGCCATTATCTTAGTGGAAAACGTTTTGTTCTTAACTCCGTCCTTAGCAGCACCATTTGCAGAAAATAATGAACTCCTCTTCATCAATAGACTGCCCAGTTCTCTCTTTTTTTCTTTTCTTTTTAAGAAATATTAAACACATACTACATGCTGAATCACACGGGACCGTGTGAAAATTTGCACTCTAAGAACTCGTTTGGATAACTTAATAGTTTAAATTCTACAATGTTGTAGTCATTTTTTTGTAGAGGGACAATATTTATGCATATTTAAACTGCATACTGCATATTTTTATATACATCTGTATTTGATGTGCTATGAAGGAACTGTGATAAATACTAAATAATAATATGCTTTTCCTTTATCAAATAGTGTATGATAGCGGTCCTCAACCTTTTTTGCGCCACAAACCGGTTTATGTCTGACAATATTTTCACGGACCAGCCTTTAAGGTGTCGCGGATAAATACAGCAAAATAAAACCAGTACTGGTAAAAAGAAAAAGATTTATTCATAACACGTGGGAAAAGACCCAGTGAAACCGAGTTAACGATAAAAATGATTAAAAAACATAACGATAAAAACTGATAAAAACCCTGAAAACCATAAATTTTCACACCCGAGCTTCAACTCTTGCGGCCCGGTACCAAACGACTCATGGACCGGTACCGGTCCGTGCCCCGGAGGTTGGGGACCGCTGGTCTGTGAAGTATCTGGTTATTCACAATGGGGGAAAATAAGATTTGGCGTCACTTAAATAAAATACACTTCACTTTGATATAGTTATAACATGCAAGTTATTCTACTTGATAAAAATTCAACTTAAATCATAAAGTTCTTCACTTTGCTTGTTTCTCCAAAGCTGCAGAACAAATGCTCAGTTTCCATTTCTGTGGCATTGTTTTTGAATCTCGCAAACATTTGCTTTCTGTGAGGAACAGGTAACAAAAAGCCCGAAGAATAGTGTGAAACTACCCCGCCTCACACTCTTAAATGACTAACACAGTTGGAGTCGCCCCCACCCCTCTTCCCTGGGTCACTAAATGCATTGAAATTTTAGAGGGCTGCTACGGCAGATTACTTCACACAGCTGTCCCAGCACCGTGGAAATGAAGTTATACCCCTTGTCAGCGATGTTTTGTGTTCCCTCTCTAACTCCTTGAGAACTTGCTCTTCAGCAGGATTGCAGGAGGGAACCGGGGGGAGGGAACCAAAAGACAATTCCTCTCCAGCTATCCACGAGAACCTGATCTGATTGGTTGAATAAATATTCCCTCTTTGCATCATAATTCAGAGAGGCTAGAAAACCCCTGACATTCAACGCCCTCTCCCAGTCCAATCCCTTCCCCCATTAACCCTGAATCATAAATCAACCCCCTCCTCCACCTTCCCAACCTCTCTAAAGCTCCGGGTACTCCCTTCCTCAGGCTCATCTCATAACCTCTTCTTGTTGTGGGTCACTGGGGTTTATTCACTTTACATTGCTGTTGCAGTAAGTTTGTTTACTTTTGATCACAGCTAAAGGGTTGCCCATATCTAAAGAGGCATTTAGAAACTTTAATGCTTGTAGCTTTTTGGGAATGAAATCAAACAATCATCCTCCCACAAAATATAAATCAATAAATTCAAGTCATTTCATTTGAGTTTTATTGTCACTTTTTGTGCAATTCACAAAAAATGAAACTATCCTTTTGCTACAATAGATTCTCTCAAATCTTTTGCTGCTATGTGATCTATAGTTTAGGGTTATGCTACATTAATACTCAAACTGAACATGTTGATATTTTGCAGGTGCAAACTTTGATCTTACAGAGCTACAACAAATAGTTCTAGTTATTATTATCCTTTTTCAGATTAATCATTTACATGTGTTTAATGAGACTGAAGGGATGTCTAATGTCTAACCAAGTAAGATGCCTCACTCACTGTTTGAGAGTCTGCATGGGTTTCAAAATAAAAGGGAGAACAGTGGTAGTTTCTGCTGCTTTTGCTTACCTTTTCCTTTTTGTTTACCTCTGTCTATTCCAGCTTTGGCTTTCTTACACATAACAACTTGTTGCCCTTGAAACGTCTTTTTCTTTCTTTACTTTCTTACTTTCTTTGTTTCGTCCCTTTTAACTTCATTTCTGTGGGTTCACCTCAGGCAAACTAGAGCATAATTGAATTAAAGCAGTTCTCCAAGACTGCGAGTATCCAAATAAGCTCAGCAGAAAAAAGTCAGGCTGGCGACTGAGCTGCTTTAGAAGTCCAGTGGCACTGTCACAGGAAATGACTTATTTTATTGCCACTGAGCTAAGAAACAGGTTGGGACATCAAAATAAACCACGGGATTGGGCCAAATACATTGAATTCAAATAACATATTTCATAGTTTAGATGTTCTTTTTTTTATTTTTAGCCAATAACATTTGAAGCATAAAAATAACAAAATGATAAGAAGTTGCATATGAACGACCGTGGACTGCCTGAATATTGTCTGCAAAGTAAACAATAAAAGTAATAAAAATGTGCCTGTCTGCTTTGACACGGCATATTCTAGAGGTCGAATGATTTGAGGTGGCCCACCTCTGGCCCAGAGGGGAGGATGGCCGAGCAACAGTTTGAGTTATGATGAGGCAATTTTAATGAGGTTGTGCTCCGTGCACGAAAAAAGCCCCTGTTGACTCTTTTCTGTTTCAGCACAGGGAATGAAACACTACTTTCCCATTTTTCTTTGGTACCAAAAGTTAATTGAAAACATTTCAGGGCAATGTATTGTCGGGGCCCCCGTATGACTCTCATCCCTTCATTATCCCAAACAATAATAAAAAGGCATTACAATTATTAATGGTTGGATTGGAGGCCTGCTCTCTTAAAGTGCCAGTACCAGCCTTTTTCTTTTCATAACAAAGACCCAGAAAGGCCCCTTCTGCATAACTTTTTTTTTAACAGTTACGACCTTTCTAGGATTTATTATTTGGGTTATTCTGTTTACAGCTGTCAATTAACAGCTGATGTTTTCCACAGTGTAGTCAGTGTACAAAACTGAAGGAATTTATCCTCCTAGCCTCTGATAGAAGTTGGAGACAATGACTATATACTTCTATATACTTATTTATAAGTAAACCAAAACAGATGAAGAACTGTTAACAGAGCGTCAGCAGGAATTAGACTGAGCCATTAAGCTAAACTCTCTCACATAACTCCTCTCTCTCTCTCTCTCTCTTCTTCTGAGGTAGCTGCCTCTTCATGCTCCCCCCCCACTTCCAAACACTAGGACAGAGTGAATGAAGTGCAACTCGTATTGTGCCAGAGCACCATTGTGTGTGTGTGTGTGTGTGTGTGTGTGTGTGTGTGTGTGTGTGTGTGTTGGGGGGTGGGGGGGTTGTCTCTGCATAATAGAGGTGCCACTTGACTTTTCCTTCATCAATGGGCCCATCTCTTTTTATTTAAAAGCAAAATGGCTGCCATTATTGGTTTCAAAGCACCAGAAGGACGGGACACTGGCTGTTTCGGTATACTGAGCTGACTGACTCATTGCATGAGTCACAGGCATGTAGACAGACAGCATGTGTCACTGCTATCACTGATTAAACATAGTTGTCACAAACAATTCAATGACTCTGGGCAACATCTTTGCAACGCAGTACAGGATATGGATTTTTACAGGTTATTATGATACCACTG